TTTTTTCTGAGTGTCGATTCAGGAATATTGAATGCCCTTTCTGCATCCCTTATTTTTCTGCCATCATTTCTTATCGCAAATAATGCGTTTTGTAAATCTTCTTCCTTATATGAAAGAATTGTGGTTTTCCTTGTATAATTTCTCAACATCTGAAAAAAAAAAATATATTTATAATTAGATTACGTGTGGAGTAATGGTGCGCATCAGCGCGCATCATTACCCCTTTAGACATTAAATGACAATCTGTAATACAGTTAGCACACTACATAACCTAACAATGTAAAACAAGCATCAAAAGATGCAAAAAATCATACTTTTCCATAAAATAAACATATCTTTTCGATTAAGAAAAAAAGTGGACTCACCATCTTATTTTCCGATGTCAAAAAATTACAGAAACTGGCTGGATTTCAAATAAACAGGGCTCGTTCCGTAAACAACTGATGTGAGTAATGGCGTCAGTGGTACGCAATAGAAAGGAGAGAGCGCAGCACTAAGCGATGGCGCTTAAAAGCCCGCGAAATATGAAATAGTTTGATGCGCACGATTACCCGATTCACACGATTCCCCCACTCTCCCTTACAGTTGGGGTGTGATGATCTATGAGAAAATCAAAATCTCAATTTATAAGGGCATCTGCACGATTTTGATGTCCGTTTTTTAAAATTACTTTTTATTAAAATTCAACCCGCGGTCTACAAAACTTAGTAGCGACGCTTATTATGTAATATAGCTAGTGTCAAATTATAAGGCTTATCCTGGACATTATTACATATCCTTTCCGCAAACTCGAATCTCGCGAGATCAGCCATCACCAGAAAATGTGACTTTTGAAAGTTTAATGTCGGCGCTGTTACAAACCTGAATTTCCGGGAATCTTATGCATAGGTAATGTGAGTTTGTAAACAGCAGCGTAAAATTTTCAGAACGTTATGAACGATACAGGTGCGATGGGGCGCCTGTCCCCCTGACGGAACAGGGGTGTATGTATGAGGCTAGATTTTTTTTTAAATTAATAATGGTTAGGTTTAAATCTGTAACGTACAACAGACGAAATGTCACGATTGTGACTTTTTGACCCAAATTGGGGATATTGATCCCAAACTGTGATATGGTCTTGAATAACAACTGGTAACATTACGTTATACAGGGTACACAGTTTGATTTTGTTCCTTACGTTTTTACAAATTAAATAGTTACCTACGTGTAAATCGTTAAAGATAGATACGTCAGTTCAGAAAAAAAGTAGAGTTGGACGACTAACTTTTCATATTTTGAGATTATTTTTAAATATACGGTGTGGAACAGCCAAATTGAATAAATTCGGTAATAAATAAATGGAGGCGTGTTCGGAAAAACGCTCAAACAAGTCGATTGGTATTTTTAGTTGCGCATTTAAAAAAAAATTATACAGGATGTGGCATGTGACAGTGGCCAACACAAACTTTCTTATTTTAACTGGATCACCCTGTATATTTTTCAATTTTCGGATTCTTTAAAAAATTCTAGACATATTTTATGCACTATGTCCTATACCTAACTGTTTTGAAAAATATTAAAACCTAGCTGGCTTAAGAAGACGAATAACGCTTACGATATTTTTTAGAATCAATAAACTTCATCCCCTTGTAGAGCTTGATTTTCCAAAAATTTTAAGTTCATATTATTGTTCATTTTTGAGTTATATTTTTTTAAATATTTCAATATTTGTCCCCTTATAGAACTTGATTTTTGCTTAAAATTTTTAAGTTGATATAATTTTTCACTTTTGACTTTTGACAAAGTAAACTTATAATACTCTTCATAGACTACTGTGGGAAGAGTATAAAAAAATGTATAATGTAAAATAAACAGTTTAAAGAAGTCAACAATAATATTCAACTTCTTTTATCAAAGGAAACTAAAAGTTTGAAACAGCACATAACTGAAAATTTACAGAAATCTGTGAACTATAATAGTGACATACACATTGCAAAATATTATCCAAAGTATTCTTGCTCTGGCTATTGTCCTACACTCATTGCTGACTTTGGCACAACTGAGTCCATATTTACTAAAAAATAATGTTTTTTAATAAATAACAGAATGAAAAAACAAAATTTTATAATTTTGTCTAAAAAGGTAACTCTGCTTCAGCTGTATTTTCAAATTATTGTTTAATTGTAGATAGAATATTATTGTTTTGATATATACTTATAGGATTGATTACCCACATCATGCAGAACACTGAAACAAAATATAAAACATCAATTACACTCGTAAAACTAAATTACAGGTAAATAAAACAACATAACCTCAAAAATACTTTTATTTACCTTGCCAAACGTTTTTTCGGGAATAATCGTTGAATTGACACACATACTTCCAATTTATTAAAGTTGCAGTTCTTATTTAAACACAATATTTTTTAAATGAGCGTATTTAGAAAATAGTTTTATCGGATTTCATATTAGATTGTTTTATAGAGAAGAGCTAGTTTGTTTGATTTGGAACACTGTTGCCAGAATATGTTTTTGTTATGTACCAGATTTGTCTAAAAATTGTACCAGATTCATTAAATGTACCAGATTTGGAAATGGTTTATTGCTTTATGGATGGTCTAGTATTATTATTTAGCAGTTTCTATAACAAGAAATTAATCAAAATAATGTAGTTCAAATTTTTTCAACATCGAAATTAAAGGACACATTTTAAAGTTTTAAGGTAAGAAAAAAATATTTTAAAGCGTTTGCAGGGCAAAAAAGTATTTTAAAATGTGTTTCAGAGGGTCTAAAACGTTCTTAAAAAAAATAGCCCGTTCGACCGTTGGCGGATTTTTCCTTCTACTCTTTATCTCTCATCAATTACAGGTGCCCAAAAAATCACTTTTTTATAATTATCTAATTACAAACATAAAAAAAATTATTTTCTTGAAGGAAATTCAGCCACGTGATGACTATCGAGAGCTTCTTGAATTAGCATCAGTGTTTTTGGGGAACCGATTTACAGGAAACAGCACTGTCAAAGCTCCTGGACCGACACACCATGCGCGATGGCTTTCAAAAGCCATTTAGCAGCCTCGAAAAAATTCAGCACTCACCTCTGGTATTTGTCTGACGAACTTTTTTGTTTATCACTTTTCGATGACGAAGTTAGCTCAGAAATTAAAATTAAAATCATTGAATCAATCAATCAAAAAGTGAGAAAAAATAAAAATTTTAAGCGAGTCGATGTAAAAAATGTCAGGCTTAGTTCTTTCATGACAAAAAATTTGTACGATTTTGCATCGAGTCAGTCAATGCTTTTATTCGAACGATTTAAACTCCCCACTGAATTTTTAAAATTACATGCAAATGAGTGGAAATCTGATAAAGATTATAATACGTGTTTAAAAGTTTTTCGAAGTTTACACGTCGTGAACGATGCTGCTGAAAGGGCAGTTCAATTAATAGAAGCAAATAATCGGAGTTTAACACATAATGAAGAACAGAAACAATACTTATTACAAGTTGTGGCAATAAATAGGAAGACATTTCCGAATGCTAATAAAACAACAGTATTGTTACCGAACACTCAGAAATAGAAAAAAATTAGAGTTATACATATTATAATTTTTTATTATTCAAAATTTATATTTGTTTACTAAATATTTGAGTAGTTCCTGAAATACAAAATTTAATAGTTTCCTAATGTTTATAATAAGTTATTATTATATGTAAAAATAATAAATTTTAACATAAAGAAGATATGATGTGAAATATAATTAATATTCTTTTTTCTAGCTCTATAACTCAAAAAATGTTGGTTGTAGGGGATTCACTCAGAGAAACTTTTTGTAGCGAATGTCATGCCATACAAAAACTATTCACGGGTTTTTACCTAAAAAAAAATTTTTAATATCGAAAAATTAAATTGAAACCAAAAAAAATTTTTTCCTGTTATTTAAATAGGAAATTGAATTTTTGAATGAGCTAAGTCGCTATTGCATTTAGAACCTTTTACCCGGCTGCATAATTTTTTTATTTTATGGGGCTAAATATTTTTACTAATCAAAAGGCGACATGAAATGGTTTTTAAAAACCAGGGCTAGCAATGTAAAGAGCATCTACGTGATTTAATCACCTCTCTTAAGCTAGCAGGACCAACTGGGCAGAATCGATTAAAATCTATTACATTATTTAGTACCTATTTTGTACTAATTTGTACAACCAATAAAAATTTTGTACCATGTGCCGTTTTCAAAAAAAACGTGGCGCTGCTAGATTAAGATTAACCTAGCAGGACCACATTAAAAAAATAAAATAAAAAATAAAACAAAGGTAGAATTAAAACGAACTGAATTTGTACCAATTTGTACCACCAATCAATTTTTTGTACTATGTACCGTTTACAAAAAAACACAAGGTGCTTCTAGTTCAATATTAGGCTAGCAGGACCACATTGAAAAATACAAAGGTACAATTAAAAAGGACTGATTTTGTAACAACTTTCAAATTAATCATCGAGCTTTGAGTCATCTTCGGCATTTACACACCCAACAAGTTTTTTTTGTGAGTACCATTACTTCCGGTTTAAAACTGTATATTATATTTTTTAGACATTCTTAAAAGTATCTTCTTTTCCATTTTTAAAAATGTAGCACAATATTATGTAAGAGTTAAAAATAAAATAATAAAATATAAAATACAGTAAATGGTACTTTGAACGGTCATTAAACTAATTATTTTTGTGTGTATATTGTTCGCTTTCAAAGTAAAATTATGTAACAATTATTATTTTAAATCGCTATAATTTGTATACCAAAAAATAGTGTTATTTTCTACATTTTCGGAAAGAGAAAGAAGGATACTTCCTGAATATCTAAAAATATATGGGGAGTTACACTTAAAAGTTGCCGTATATCTATCTTAATTTAAAATTTATATAGATTTGAAAAGGGTCCAAATATAATGGGGCCCGCGGTATTAGCTTAATTTACGGAAAATTTTTACAAAATTTAAGTAATTTCAAGTGAAACTCACCTTCTGTGCTGAGCCCAGGACTCGATGTGAATTTTGCTACGTCGACGACTTTGGCGGCAAATTGCTGACTTGTTTGACGGTGGATGCATCTCCTGACAATGCTAAATGGTCCCCTGGAACACAAAATTAATTGTAATAAATAACCAAAATCGGTCAAACATACTGATATGGAAATTTTTGAGTTTCAAAATTTTTATGACATACTATTTCTTTTTTTGTATTTGTCAAAATTGTTTTCATTTCGGGATACTGGAGTGTTAAGGTTTTTGAAAAGTTCATACAATTTTGGATAAAATCACGGTGAATGATTTTATTATAGATGTTTCAATGCTCTAGAAAATAATTTATAATGCATAATTCTAAAAAATCCGCCAGAAATGATAAGTTTATCAACTTATTATATTCAATATTCATTTTTATATCGGTCAATGGTGTGGCTTATTTCTTAAAGAGATTAATATCTTTTAGTTGAAATTCGAACTCTGGATAAAATAAAATACTTTAGGCTCCATACTGCCCTTTTAATCAGCAAATTACCACAACCTTTTTGTGAGTTTCACTATATAGTGAACCAAATGTAGACTTCACTCTTATGTGTATTACATGGAAAAATGGAAGAACTGCTAATGAGATACCTTTCTAGTAGCTTTCCAAATCCAAACAAGTACTGTCAGATATAGTGCGTTCATTTTAGCTTTTATCAAATGAAAAATGAATCTGTATTTTAACAATAATGGTAATTTCTTATTATTTAAGCCTACTACCCAACCTCTACTCTACTCAAACTCTACTCAAGGGCAAGTATAATAAGTGGTAAGATAACAACCTCTACTCTACTCAAACTCTACTCAAGGGCAAGTATAATAAGTGGTAAGATTAGCGACAATTTTTTGAAATGTCACGAAAATTGGAACTGTCATATGAGTTGTAAATTAAAAAATTGTTCTTGATATTTGAGCGTACCTCGAAATTATATTTAAAAAGAGAATATAGGGGAGGTCCGGCAACAGTGGCCACCATTTCATATTTTACTATAACTCGACCAAACTTTTAATTGAATAATAATAAATTGAACGTCATAGGATTTAGTACTATTTTGTAGACTATTTTCAACAAGTATAATAACTACATCTGTTTTATTGTCCTAGAAAAATATAGTTATTTAAAACCTTACAAGGTGGCCACCGTGGCCGCTTTGTCGGATACAGTGGCCATGTAGCAAGTAGACAGTGGCCACTACTTATTATCTTTATTTTTAAATTTAATGCAAGGTGACTATATTGAAGAATACACAAACAAAACGAAAATATTTTACTAATTGAAAGTAACATTAAATTATGAGCACAACATATGAAAAATAAACAAAATGAACTAAAAACAACTAGTTAATAATATATGAGGACAAATCTATTGAAAAGATAAATGTATTGCTTGCTCTAGCCGTACCACCTGCAAGGTATGGGTCGGGTAAGTGCAGTTCTATATCTTCTAGAGGAACACTACTTATGTCTTCTACGTCTGGAAATACGAAATGTTTGCCATGCCTTCTCAAAAAATGTATTTCATATTCTCCCTCATCAGCTAATCTTATCACCTTTCCAACATAATATTTGACAGTCTTTTTTGTCGCAAATTTTACCAAAACAAATGAATTAACATCTATTTCGGTAATTTCTTTCATTTTATCGCTGTCCTTTAGTTTACAGTAATCAACATCATCTGAATTTACCACATCAGATAAACTCATATCACTGTCACTCGAGTCATAGTCCGATAATTCAGTTCTTGCCTGTCGCTTGACTGTTTTTGTAATGGTTAAGTCCAAGTCTTCGCCAAAACACTTCCGTTTGACTTGAAATGTTTTTTTTTGTTCGTATTTTCTTTTCTTTTACCTGCCTTTTAGCTTTAATTCTCTCATATACTGGCGTATCTGTTAATATTTCTGTGGATTTTCTCTCTCTTCGGTTTACATTTTTTTCCTTTTCTTTAACTTGTGGGTAGGGCAACAACTGTTCTGGAGATACAAAAGATTTCTCTGGTGTTTGATGTACTTGATCTGTGGTCGATTCTGCCGTTATATTCGGATCATCAAACTCTGGAAGATTTCTGACTAGCGGGTCCTTGCTTGTGCTTGGTTGAGTCAAATCATTGTCTGGGATGTCAGTTGGCTTGGAGGCCAAAAAGTCGTGTTCACTGAATATTGTGTCATTAAATGGAAAAATTCCGGTATCTCTAAAGCCAGAAATGCAATTTCTCGTGCAAAAGGCCAGTGGATAAGCTAAGCCTAATATTTCTGCAATGTCATAAATTGTTATTCTTTTCCCGACATTATTAAATAACCAAGACTGGCAATGATTATTATAATACCGCTTTAGGGGGCCATAAACGCTTTTGTCAAGCGGCTGTAGCTTATGGCTAGTATGTGGAGGAAGAGTTAGTAACTTGACGTAGTTTTTTCTTGCCATCTCAATAATCGCTAAAGAAACATGGCTCTCGTGATTATCCATGAGCAATAGGATTGGACTGTCAGCAGAAGGCTTAGCATGACGAATAAAATGCCGAAACCACTCCACAAATATTCCCGAGGTGATCCATCCAGAGGGAGAAGCAGATCCTATGGTACCAGGTGGAGCGTTCTTTATCATGTGTTCCTTAAAATATTTTCTGGGAAAAATTAGAAGTGGGGGTACTGTATTACCTCCTGCATTTATAGTGCCTACCATGGTAACAAGAGTTCCTCTTTCTCCGGAAGTGATCTGACCCACCTGCTTTTGACCCTTGGTAGCTAAAACTTTTCCAGGATTCTGCACTGTTGTTAAAGCGGTTTCATCGACATTGTATACTTGAAACGGTTCAAATTTATATGTTTCAAAAAGTTTTTTTAGATTGTCAAAAAACTTAGCAACTATAGGTTTGTTGAAACCCATCGCTCTTCCAAGTGAGGTTGCTTCAGCTGCTCTAATGGAAATTTCCTTATTTCGTTTAAGGAAATTGGTAAACCAGTCCTTGCCAGCAGTCTGATTTTCCTTCCATGAAGGTGGAATTTTCTTTTTGTTCGCCACAGCTAAATCATATGCAAGCTTTCGACAATTTTTGGGGGTTAGACCGTGGTGCAAGTTAGCCATGGTTTTAAGATAGACACATAAATTTTGTTCTTCTTCAGTTGAAAATATCTTATTCACTGAGTAATTGGGAGTCATACGTGGACAGCCTTCCAAAATAGAACTGCCCCAATTTATGTTTTCTGTAGAATCACGACATTTTTTCAAATATCTCCGTAAGGTTGTACGAGGTATGTTGTATTTCATTGCTGCTGATTTTGTTGAAATGCCACCTTGTTCAATGTCATAAACCGCATTTCTCATAGCTTCTGCACTGACTTTACCAATCTTGGATTTTTTTTATTGTTGCAACTCCATTTTTATCTGAAATCAAAATAGTTATTTATGTATCAAGGGCGTAAAACAGGCGTTTATGGACCGCAACGTTTAAGTAAGAGCCCGAGCCGCTAGGCGAGGGCTATTAACACGTAAGGTCCATAAACGCTGTTTACGCCCGAAATACATACAATATTTTATGCACGGCCGTTTTAATAGTCATTTATTAATAAATATACAAAATTTTATGCACGACCGTATTAATGATAGTTTATTAATAAATATGAGCATACACCTTCCAGCAGTAACCCAAATCATACGGAGTTAGTAGAAGTTCGTAGCAACTTACAACAGAGCAAGGTAGCAAATCCTAACATTTCTATAAGTAATTGTTCAAATTGTGTTATTAGTATAAAATTATAAGTGTGAGGATCTTATGTTTGGGCTTTTAAAGTTATAATTTCTTTATTAAACTCATATTTTGTTAATTGTACCAAATATTTCCATGATAATAAATAATAATAATAAAGTTTGTTTTACTAACTACATGTGAATTTTAAAAAGAAAAAAAAGTTACTTTACCGCCCGGCGGGCGGTAAAGTGACACTTTACGCCCGCTAAACGTATTTATAATCTGGCCCGGTCGTGCATAAAAATTATTTAATGGTTCTGTATTACACTAGAAAGGCAACAGTGGCCACTATTTTACGAATGATAAAAACAGTGGCCACTGTTGACTTTAAAAATATGGCCACTGTTCACAAAAACGTGCATGATTAAAATTTAATATTAAACAAAAAACATCAAATACCTTACCTTTCTGCAGTATTCTGTACAAAAACTAGATGACGAACTTTCTAAAACTTATCAATCCGAACTTAAAAAGCACTTCTAACTGTGAAAAAAAATGTTTTGAAATAGATGAAAACGTAAGTTTCTATTACACGTACATGCACTGGCGACGTCTCCACGACAAATGAAAACAAATCTAATAAACTGTGCTCGAAATACAAAGATAAGTGAGTCTCTCAACCTGTCTAGAAAAAGTTTGATCTGGGTGGCCACTGTTCCAGCGTGGCCACTGTTGCCGGACCTCCCCTAATGAATATGATGACAAAAACACGAACAATTATTAGACTAATCCTTTCATTTATAAATAAACACTTGTTTATTTGCAAATATTCACATCGTGTTTAATATTAGACGCCCACTAAATTGAGTGGGGATGGGGTTGGCAAGTACGCGTGTTAAGAATGAACCAGCACGAATGGCTACGACATCTGTTTTAGATTGTTACCACACTGCAAAATAAATGGCGTACTTTCCTGGAAATCACCTTCAACTACAATAGTTGCAACCAGAAAAATACATTAACCTGAAAATAACCTTTTGCTAAATCATAATTTCGCAACTTTGTAGATAACAATGTGAATAGATAGATAATGGTTTGTATCAATAGAAGTTTGATTCCCAGCATGGTAATCCAAAAATACCACAGCCATAATCCAACACTTTGGTATTGTCACTTGTTAATAACAAAATTTAGTCAACTCCACAGCGCAGCATCACGTGATATAGCAATTATATTCTCTATGTAATGAAATAAAGAGTGAAAATAATGGAATTAGAAAGATGTTTTCAAAAATGTCCAAAGCACTGAATGGGCTGAGGGTCCAAAAGTGCCAACATTAATTTTTTTTTTTTACAAATATAACTTTTACGAGTAATGCATGTAC